ATCTCTGATTAGCATGCAGTCCTAATAGATTTGAGGAAACTGGACAAGTGGTAGTGAACAGAACAAGTATCAGGCCTAGAAATATCTACAGGAGGTAAACAGTACATGAAAGTCATGTCCTTAAGAAATAAGAAAAATCCAGCAAACACCAGAAACAGGACCTGGGAGATACATCTGACCCTTCAGCTGATCCAAATGAGGAATCCAAATTTGAAATTTTTTGGTTGAGCTTGTCCGTATGTACAGAGGAGGTCAGGAGAGAGGCACAACGGTGAGTGCCCTACAGCCATCTGTAAAACTCGGTGGAGGCTTTGTCACAGTTTGGGGATTTCCTTTCCACCAGCGGTGTTGGGCATCTTGTCAAATTTGGTATTTCCTAAATGAATTTGTTACAGCAGTTAAAATAATAAAGTGTTGATGTTGAACATATGTTCTTGGGAACGACATTTGTTGTTATTTGGTTGACTTTCTTCCACACTGTCATTTGACAGAGTCTTAAAAAAACCAAAACCTCACTCCAAAGTAAAAGAGAGGCTGTAATATTTGAATAACTGAGCCACTAAAAGTACAACAAATAAGGCCTCAAAAAGTTGAATAGTATAAATATGAATTCAAGCAAAAGTAGGGCAACCTTTATTGCTTTCAGAACTGCAGCAATTGCTCTGGTATCAGGAGCAAGTTGAAGTACAGAATCTTGGCCAGTGCAAGTGGAAGGGCTATCTATTTATCATCTGATTAATGGGTGGCCTACTGATGGCCATTACTGAGCAACATTGTATCTTCTTAACTTTTGTGTCATTTAAAGGACTAGATGCTTTTCGGATCACCAGTTGCACACATTATCTTCGCAGTGAGAGTCCAGAGAATAAAATACTTCCAGGGTTTAATCTTTCCCAGTTTTAGGGGGTAAATGTTTATGTGCAAAGTGCCTGAAAATATTTTTTTTTCCTTGATAATAGCCTGCTCACAAAAACCAAAGCCAGAAGGAGTCAAGGGTTTTGATACTGCCACAAAATCTTGCAATGGGAGATTGGTGTGGGTTGTTTTACAGCAGATTGCCTCTTCCAAATTCTTTCCTACCAGCAGCCAGTTTAGTTTAGAGCAGACTGGTAATCTTGTTTTCCAGTTAAGCTTGCAGCAGTGATGTAGAAGTGCAATCCAGGGTGCAACAATTATACTCCATGAGGAGCAAAAAACAAAAAACCTTCAACCCAACAGTCTTTAAGCAGTATGTAAGTGAAGTAGTCGTGAAATTCAGACGACTGATTCTTGTTCATTGGCATAAATTTTCCCTTTTTTGATTGTACCAAAAGGACTGGAGGCAATTCATAAAATGGACTTGAAGTTGTACATATTCATTTGTATTTTTGGACTTAAATTAGGCTCCCAGTTTGAAAAACCAACAAAGTTGACTTCAGAAGTAGTTAGTTGGTTGCGTCTACGGATTTCTACATCTAGAGTGTATTTTCAGTCACTGTTTAGTCTTTACTCTCTTTTTGGTTCTATATTACATACACACTCATTGGCCACTTTGTTAGGTACACTTTGCAGGTTTCACCCACTTTTGCCTCCTGCGCTGCTTTGATTCTTCTGGAAACACTCCTCAGAGATTTTGGTTCATACTGATGTAATAGCATCTCACAGCAGGTAAACATTTGTCAGCTGCATATTTATGCAAATCTTCTGTTCCTCAACATCTCAAAGACCGTGTTAGATTAAGATCTGGTGAATCTTAAGTACAGAGAACTCACTGCCGTCCATGTTCATAAAAACAGTTTGTAATCATTTGAGCTTTGTGATTGCTTTGTGTGTTATCTTTCATAAAGGGGTGGACAAATTCTGCCCCTTCTGTTAAAATTTTTAGCAGACATGGAGGTTCATCTTTTCAGGCTTCATTTTTCCAGTCTTCTGATGCTCAATTCTGGCGAGCGTGTATGAATTGTAGCCACAAGTTCCACTTCTTAGCTGACAGAAGTGGCCCCTGGTGTGGACTTCTGGTGCTGTTCCCTGTCTGGTTCAAAGTTCAGCTCAAAGCAGTTTGACCATTTGACATGAGCAACACATTTTCACTGGATAGTTTGTCTTTTTCAAACCATTCTCTGTGAACCCTAGAAATGCTCGTGTGGGGAAAATCCCACTAGAGGATTTCTGAAATCCTCAGACGAGACCATCGTGCACCAACAACCACGGCAATGTTTAAAGTCGCTTAAATCGACCATCTTCCCCATTTTAATGCTTGGTTTGAACTTCAGCAGGTCATCTCGGCCATGTCTTCATGCCTAAATGCACTGTTGCTCTCATGTGTTTGGTGTATTATTTGAGTTCCCTCCCCAGACGCCTTAACGCCCACTCACATCCTGGGCCATCTGACCTCAGGAATCCGCATGATAAGGTGGGGCCAGGTTTCACAAAGATTGGGACCACACCCAGTTTCACACCTTGGCTCAGGCGATTAGAGGATCATCAGGGGGTCCTTTTGTCCCTCTGTGGGGGGATACTCCCACTAGGTTTAAACTGAACTGAAGAAGCTTCTTGGATGAGAGGTGAAACGTCTTCAAGCAACTTAAAGAAGTCCAGACGCTTTTCTTTGCAAGCTCCTTTGACTACGATGACCTGGATGACTGAGAACCTTCACAGACACATTTATAAGCAGTTGAACAGGTGTACCTAATAAAGTGGCTGAGTATACATTTTGTAAGGAGTTAACATCTAGTGTCTCCAAAAAGTTGATTCTGTTCATCTGGACGTAGCGTTTTGTGGGAGAAACGTTTCGTCACTCATCCAAATGACTTCTTCAGTCTCAGCTGACTGCAGGTTTCAATCTTATAAACAGTACATTTGCATAATGACTGAAACCAGCCCACTGAAGAAACAATGGCTGGGAGGTCAGTTCCTTAATCTTAATTATGCAAATTCTCATAACCATTGATCAACAACCACTGACCAAAACCCACTGATCAATGACCATGAGTACCATTCACAGAGAGTTGGGGAATGGCTGCAATCACAGCATTGTAAGATGGCGAAAGATGTACCCTTAGGCCCCCTCCTCGATTCAGAGATGGTCTTTCCTTTTTCATGTAAATGGCCTCTTTTACGTTAACGACTTAACATCTAGTGATTTGTAACGGAGATTAGCTCAAAAAGACAGTCCTATTTGCCATTTATTGTTTACATGAATACATGATTGTATTTTCAATCCACGTTAATATTAAAATGATTAATGCAAGCACTAATATATTAATAGAGTCCATGCCACATTTTTGTTCAGGGCTTTAAAGCAGTTTAATCCAACCATACTCAGAATTACCTTATGCTTGGTGTTATTAAGTCCTTCCGTTATTTTAATTGTAGTGATTAACCACACCTATGTGTCAAGCATTACCGGGCAGGCAGGCAATCAGACAATCCAAATGTCCTGTGGGCCATTCAGTACTTTCTTAATCATTTCAGAGCCTCATCCTAGTAACGTCCCGAGAAATTGGCCTCATATATAAGTTGACGACACCCATCGCCACAGAATTAATGTTATTATTCTCCATGCTGCGGAGCAGCTACGCAGCATTGGTCGTTAATATACGACAACAGGGATTATTATATTCCACGGAGCCCTCGAGGACTCTGTGCTCCAAGGGTGGGCTGAACAGGGCAGCGGTGGGAGGAAACAGAACAAATGCAATTTAAGTCCAAAGAAATTTTCCCCTGAAAACCCAATTACGTCTCTGTGGGAAAGACAGGGTGATGGGGTCATTTTGTTCTTTCTAATGGAACGACAGAATGGCTGCGTGTAATGATGGGGTCTCTTTTTATTCTCTTGGCTTTCACTCACAGCCCACATCACTGTCACACTTCTTTCGTCACCCCCCCAACACACACACACACACACACACGCACACACAGCCTGTACAATAGTACATTGCAGGAAGACCATGATTAAAAGTCCTCCAACATAGTGTGATTAAAAAGTAAGAAACTTTTCAGTGTCTGAAGATGGATTTCGAATAATGTCTCAGAAAAGTTCTCTTTTTTTTTTCTTCTAAATTTAGAAAAAAAAAAAAAAAAAAAAAAAAGAAAAGTTCTCTTGCTTTTGCTGAAGTCTGTGAAGTGAGGAATTGAAAAGTGGGAAACACTGGAAGAAGGAGATGTTCAATCTATTTGCAACTAGCCTCTGATGTCAAGGTGTGTGTGTGCTAGAATTTCTGAGATCATATTTCATCAACGTGCGTGCTTGCATGTGACAAGTACAATTTCACAGAAGAGGTGGCCTCAGACAAATGATTTGTCCGGGGAGGAAAAGTGCTTATCGGGCACAATGTAACGAGCAGAATGCAGCTGTAAAAGAGCAGAAAGAGACCAAAAAGAAGTACATCGAGGAGGGCAGAGAAGGGAGTAAATAGATAAATGGGGCATAGGGGGGAGCCGTTGCTTGTGTTTACAAGTTTAAGTCCCAGAGTTTTCATTTATGAATGCCAGCGAGAGTTTCATGTAATGTAATTACGGTGTAGCGGTGCATGGAACTACTTTGGAAAGGAGATGTGTGTGTGTGCTCCATTTGATGCTTTGACAAATGAACAGAAACTAAATGTCTACCTTTAGGCGCACAGACTCTCTTATACACACCGTTTGTTTTCAAGTATCTCATTATTACTCATTTAGTCCTTGGGGACTGTGCCTAAAAACAACAGTGCGTTTGTGAGTGAATACGCATGTGAAAGGTTAACAGTGTCATTAGGTTTCATTCATTGCAAGCTGCTTAATTGTGGTTTTATAATCACTCTATGATGCTAGAGGCTTGAACTTTAATAAATCAGCCCGCCTCCAACACTTGCTTTGCAATTGAATTCCCAGACGTGCTTAAGCTCTCACACCTACAAAAATGTGATAAATATTCACGAAGCCTTTGATTTTTCTTTAAACTTTGCAAGTTTTCACATATTTGTTGAGCTACAACATGAATGCTGGAAAAACATTCTTATTAATAGCATTTTATTGATTTCAGGTAGCCAGCTTTTATCCAACTGAAGGAACAACACAACAAGCAGCACATCCCCTGAAGCTGACAGGGGTACAACAGAAAATAAATTGCACTGAATATTCTACTTTGCAGCCACGATGATTTGCAACAACTATAAGAGGCTAATTCTTGTTTTTGTGATCATTACACACAGGAAGATATTATATAATACAGCTGCATTCGTGTCAGAGGTGACATAGCATCCAGTTTGGGACATCATGTCTTTGAAGAAAGGAGTGCAGTCGTGTCAGAGTGTCTCTTGTGTGCTGCTGTGATGAACAGAGCTCAAAGCTATTGATTTCTTTCGAGGGGACGGGAGGTCATTGTGCTAGGTTTGCACCAAAGTTCTCTTTCAGCTCTAGATGGACGTCCAACCTTCCAGTCACTCCCTCCACCAGCTGTCCCCGCAGAGCAGAGTAATTTTCCAGGCCTCCAAGCATCGGATTGCCTCGTAGGTCGTGGGTAGGGTTGCGACAGGGAGACGAGTATTGATTGGTTCAGCGATCTTTCGCTTGGTTATGTTAGACAGAGCAATGAGATGGAGGTCCCCAGAGGATGTTTGCACAGTGCGTCTTCTCCAAGAAGAACTATTCATTCCAGCAGTCCAGTCACAAGCGCCAGCTTTAAGACCCAGTATTTACACAATCCCCACAAGCAGCTCATGGGCATGTATTATGGTAATATATGCATGGAAAATCAATGCGTCAGCCATTCATTATTTTCAAAGCATGTAAGCAGTGGTTATCTCAATTGTAAACTAGACCAGTTGATATTGAAATGCTGCACAGAAAGATATGTGCTGGTGTTATTTGCCATCTATCTCTTTCTGACTCGCACAGGGTTTCTCTTCATGGATAAGGAGGTATAAATCATATGCTGCAGATGAGGTGCTAAAAATCTGCAGTTTAGATCAGCGGCCTGCCTCATTTGTACATAGCAATGTGCAGACACACAAACAACCCAACCCAACCTCCTTTATTTTAAAAGTAAAACAAATGAATAGCAAATTTTATACAGCAAGATTCAAACAACACCTAAAGCAATGCAAGTAACACCAATAATAATGAAATCCTGTTTTGGAAGGAACTGAACCAATATCAATAAATGCATTTAATAAATGAATCTAAAGTATTAGGCTACAAATCAGAAACCAGTTTAAAATAGACGTCTTTAACTTTTAAGTATATGCATGAGTGCACCATTCTGATATCAAGAGGCAGAGGCAATTTATAGATATATAAAAACAGAAGGCAGTCTCACTGGCACCCTTAGAAGATGCATTTAATGGAAAAGCAGTTGAGGATCTTAATGATCTGGCGGGCACGTAAAATTGAGAAAAGTCTCTGAGGTTATTTAAAGGTGTGCAAGCAAGTAAAAGAAAGCTAAAAGTAAGCTGGTGTAATGTCTCAAGCAATGTGGTAATATGATCCATTTTCCTTGTTCAGTTTTATAATAGGTGAATCCAGTGAAATGGAAATTGCAACAACAACTAAACAGCTAGTCGTGGGCAAGAATACGAAGTTTGGCCTCTCACTGAATTAGAAATGATCTCAGTTTGATATATTTAAAATGGAAAACTGATCATCCTGAAATGAGAATCAAAATTTTATTCAGTTTTTGTTTTCAACTGTTTGCTAAGACTTACTGGTTGTAACTGTTAACCATCTGATGGTAATTAAAATGATAATTGTTGATGGTATTCGTAATATTTTCCAATGCTTCAGTCACACTAAGGGAAATGGCGGCTGTGGCCATGTGCAATGAATATTCAGTCTCACTGCTTTTGAAATAGTTGCTTTGAAGACAAGGGCCAGGTCTGCAACCACTCACAATAAGTTACCATCTTATAAATGTCTTTAGTGCATTAAGACGGCAATAAAGTGGTGATAAGACGGAGCCAGTCTCCTATCAGTTTGCGATTGAATGAGGCTAGGTCAGCAGTTACGTGCAGTCTGTGATAATACACATTAACTATTTAGATTTAGAGTCTGGCCTCAAAACCTTTGTTACTTTGGGACAAATTCAGTTGCCTCAAGGCGCTTTATATTGTAAGATAAAGACCCTGCAATACAGAGAAACCTGAGAAACCCCGAAAATCAGAGGACCCCCTGTGAGCAAGCGCTTTGGCGACAATGGGAAGGAAACACTTCCTTTTAACAGGAAGAACCAGGCTCAGGGAGGGACGGCCATCTGCCTCGACCAGTTGGGAGCGAACGGAAGAACAAAGGCATTCAGTAATCTTGTGTTTGTATAAAAAATACAACCAGCTGAGTCGTGTCCGTATTGCAAAGAGATGTATCACAGATGCTTTGCACTCATTGCACAGACTGACTCAGGCTGTTGTTGATCTGTCTGTGTTTATAAATCAGATAAATTAGATACTTTGCAGTCAGTCTGAGTCAGATTGTTATTGTTGGGAGACAGGTTGTCGCCCATCAGTCAACCAGTCATGTGAAAGTGTTCGCCTAGAGTTGGGGTGTGTTGCATGCTCAAGCCCTGGGCAGATTTAGCAGTAGCAAGGAAATTAGTGCCCTTTTTCTACTTTAGTGTGACTGAGACATTAATGAATCATTTATAGAAAAAAATTAATTTAGGCCCAGAATGGTTCCTTGAGAATTACCATATTTAATACCATGTCTTTAATACCAGAGAATCCAGGCTGACAAATAAATAAATAAATATATAATAAAAATAAACAGCCTGTCAAGTGATTAACATTTTAATTTAGCCAAGACAAAACAATGGCACAGTGACCCAACCTGTCTAGTGCATGAATTAAACATTGTGATCACTTGTATCAAAATCTACACTGAGGTCTAAGACAAGAAGGACAGTAACCATGTTTGCATTCACGAAGATTTTAGGCCATTAACAGCTGTCTCAGTGCTCTGTGATGAACGTTAAGCATATGGAAACTTTTTTAAGTAGCTGTTGTTGGTTGATTGAAACGCCCTTTCTCTAAAAGTGGAGAAAAGAAAGTAGGATGTAAAGTGAAGAGAACAGAAATGATGTAGATAGATTAGATTTCTTTGAGTGTTTTTACCACTGAAAAATTGTTGGGAGGCACTTGAGTTAAGAGCAGACTTCATTATCTTTGTTGCAGCTTGGTAGATGCTATAACAGCTTTGGAATTGGAATAGTATGTGGAGCTCATCATACTAGTATTTTAATGATTTAGTGATTTTCTTTTTTAAGACGCCTGCTTAGTAATCTATGAAGAGATACAGAGAAACAGAAACAGTAAACACAGAAACAAATGAATTGCAATATTACTCTGTGATGCTGTTAATCTGGTAATCACTCATTTTAACCTTTTAATTGTATTTTGTAGTTGGTAAACCGGTGCCATCTTTCTCAAAGGACCAGATCGCTGATAAATACTCATGGCAGGGGACATCCCAGAGGTGTTTTTTCTTTGCATATGCAAAACAAATATGCAAATGAGTCATTATTGAGACTAAATAGAGATGGATTTAGAAGACTGTCAAGTGCTGAAAAACCACTCGTCCCTCTCTCCGTTATAGAAAAAATTAAATACTGTGTTTAAATTTCAGAGTGGGCAGTGGAGAGCCCTGAAGAAGAATACAGTGAAAGATACAGAGATCTCCATACTCAAACTCACATATACACCTCCGCTGTGTGCTTAGCCCCCACTGCCGGAGTGCAGAGAAGCTCCCATGTTGCCGTGGTGACTGCGATGGAAACAAGGGGCTTGTTCTTGACTGACGGCCGCTGCATTTGTTTGTTGTGTGTCAGTGTGTCTTCAGATGCACATGCATATGCGTGTGGTTCAGTCAGGCACGTTTCCCTTTTAAACACCACGAGTGGCCTAATTAACCATTCATTCACAGTTGGTGCAACACAACACAAACAACTGGCTTGCTGTGGTTTATAAACGAACCAGTTATACATCAAAAGATCCCCCAAACAAATCCATCTAAAATAGAATAACAAATTAATTTACTTTTTTTTTCATAGAAAAGAAATTGGTGTTCTTTGTCATTTAGGACATTTTCAACCCCCTCATTTTTGTGCTGTGGCATAGAAAGGCTACTAATGAGCCTCTCATTGCCTCGTCTTGTTATTAAGTATTAATGTTCCTGTTATTTTTAACATGTGGAGACATCAATTTTGGGGTCATTATAGCAGAGGCTCAGACCTTCACAAAACACCTCTGACTGTCTAAAACTGTGTGCCCAGATGTTACTTTAAATAAGCAGAGGAGGTGGCAGCGATGACAGTGCCACTGCTGGAAGGTTTTTACATTTGCCTGTGGCTGTGACAGAAAGTCTGTTGATCTATGCGTGTGTTAAGAAGGTTATATATATTTAACTATATTTTTGTGACATAAATAATTTCTTGTGAATCTCATTCCCTTCTCTTTTTATCCTGTGGAACATTCTTTTGTTTTATTTGTTGACTTAATTTTGGTTTTATATTTTTCTTTATATTTCTTGCTTTTGTAGGAGCTTTTCATCATCCCTGTGTATGAATGTTAATTTCCAGTATGCTGACGAATCAGGATTCAAGACGTGAACCAAACTTGTGACTTTAGCAGTGCCAGGGAATTTGGACTGCTTATTTAAAACGCAGTCATTTTGATTTTTTCACTCCTCCTCCTCCTCGTGTTGTAACACAGAAAACTAAAATAAATCTAATTTTCTGCATAGTGACATGCTGTAACAGTTGTCAGACCACAATACACGTATCAGCTGTTTAATCGGCATAATTCAGGTAAGCTTCAGTTTGTTGGACTCGGATGTTATTCTGTGCTGTTTGATTTGGGCAAGCAAAATAAATAAACCGCCATCCAAACATGATGTCAGAATTGATAACTTTTTCCACTATTGATGGTAGATCTGTTGCATACCATAAATCTATGGTCGTTAACTGGCAGGTTTGAAACCATAAGCGTCTGATGAAACTTTAATGAAGCATTTTGGCAAATGAACTTGTTTATTGTCCCAGTTAGCAGCTTATGACACTCTATTTATTAGTAAATAGAGTGTCACTTCTGGTTTTGGCCTTGGCTCGGTGCTGAATTTGTTGGTTTTCAGATTTGTTGCTATATAAATATAATTGAATTCCCCTGAATTAAATTATGGAGCACAAAGAAGTAGTAAACCAGCACATAACGCTGCGTAATAAAAACAGTCTGTCACTTTTGGACATTTCTGTTCTAGTCGCACTTGGTATGGTTTTCATATCCCTTAAAAGTCAGAAACTGGATTAGTTCATTTGAGTTTGACTATTTTTCTCAAACTGGCACATAAAACTATAAATGGTCTTTCAATTACCCCTTTTCAAATTTCAGTAATAATTGCACTATGGGTGGCTCTCAGCTGTTGGTGGAAAAATGATTGCTAAAGAATGCATGAATACGATATGAGGTTATTAATATTTATTAGCCTATTACATAAAAAACCATAATACTTCAACTTTATTGATCATTCAATCAATAGATTGTGAAATAAAATGTAAAATATGAACCACAGCTAGCTACATAAAACTGTCGCACTCTCATCAGAACTTTCTTCTTTCTCCTAACTTATCACAGTCTTTCTTTCTTTCTTTCAGTAAAGTTATTATTATCCACTTCTGGCAAATCATACACAGCATGAGAAGAGTGGCAAAGCACATACGTAGTTAGCAAACATACAAGCGCACTCAAAGCTCTCAGTGCAGCTATATTACAGGAATAGAGTGTGTGAAGCATATGTAGGCTCTGTGTAAAGTGAGTGGGTGGCCGAAGCTGCAGATTGATGGGAGACCCCGTGCGTACTGTTAAAGCCAGTCAAAAATCCTTTTCCCTCCCTTCCTTCCTCGCAATAGGAAAATTGAGGCTTTGGTCTTCTCTGGATATGCTGACTCTATATTTGATGATGATGATTTTGTTTTTGTTCCTTAATTGCATCCATGCTGTGTTGTGCGTTTGTACTTGGATTTCATTAAGCCCTATGTGTTCAGGGTTGTCCTACACTTTCAATCTACTATTTCACCTGCTTTGGGTACAAATGCTGACCACATGCAGAATGACAGTTCAATAAATGTTGGCATAAGTTGATAAAAAACAATAAGCCCCACTAACCAAATTGGTGTAGTCGTGTGTTCTGACATATACTGGCGTGAAGACGGTACACTGGGTTTGGATATGCTTGTTAAACAGGATGCCTCAGCTGACCACACTCAGTCTGCAATAACAGGTCATCTATAATCAGCTTCCATTCTCCAATAAACACATATTTATATTTTCCATCTTAACAGCAGTGTATCTCATTATCATCTCCCTCTCTCTGATAGCCACTTACTGCACCACGGAGTTATGGGATTGTTCCTGCATAGTGTCGCTTGCCAATGTGGTAAAATTACGGGCATTAACAACAGCCTATTAAAGCTACAATTGCATCGCACTGCTGGATTACTTATTGATATTTGGCAGAATTGCAGCACTAAAAATTTTAATGTAAACATAATAAATTCTGGGGGGGCGGTAATAAAAACACAATAAAGAGAAAGATCAAACAGCATTTATTATCATCTTAATATAATTTATATTTAGATAAAACTAAGATTGACAGTTAAGTGTAGTGGTGCATACATTAAACAATGGATTTAGTGTATACATGCACAACTCTTGCAGAATAATCAAGTTTGCTTTAAGCTCAAAGTTTGTGTTTTCTGGTTGTGTGTACCAAAGCGTAAATTAATAATAGCATAGCCTCTGCTAAGCACAAAATCACAGTAATTCCAGTAAAGATTTAGTCTCAAGAAATAAAAATGAATAAACCTCTTGTTTTTTTGTTTTAATCAAAGCCTCCAAGGGTAAAGTACATCTTTGACTCTTCTTTTCATGTGTTTGTGGTCAGAGGTCACTGTCTGTATGTTGTTATAGTCCAGGACTGTCTGGATTTCAGCGGTCGGCATTCATCTTCCTTAGCTTTGGTGGCAAGTTATCCTCCAACCTCCCACCGGCTGAAAGAAGTGGGCTGTGCATGGGAACCGGAGCAGGGGACAGCGTGGATGGCAGGCTGTGTTGGTACAGGTCTCCAGTTGACTGGGTCATGGGTTCAAAGCCCACCTTGAGAGACTTTAGCCCTAGACGATTTGCTGCCTCGGGGCCAGGTGAGGAACTGAGACGTTGCAGCTTTAGGGGGAGGTCTCCGGTGCTGCAGGCCTTCTCTGAGTGCTGGGAGCTAAGCATAAGCACTTTCCTCTGAAGGTCCTCCTTCCCCGATGAACTCATCCTCTGCAATTTGCTTGGAAGTCGAACCCCAGTCCCTACATGATGGCCCCTTTCCTCAGTAGTGTTAATACAATCCACAGAAAACACGCGGTCACGTCGGGCACCGTGGCTCTCAGTCAGTGCGGGGGTAGGAGTGGACAGAGGCGAGGGGAGAGAATTCTTCTCTTCATGCTCCTTGACACTGTACGGTGGTGTCGGCACCTCGAACGTGCTGTGGAACTGAGAGTAGTCGACCCTGAAAAAACCCTCTTCCAGGGACATTACTGGTAGGAAACGATGGCCCCATAAAACCTCATCCTCAGTGTATGACGTTCTTGCCTGGCATGTCATACCTAGAAGAGAGTGACGGCAGTAATAATTTTAATAACTGCTATTAAATGGGGTTTCAGCAAAACAATTATAGGCTGATAACGAGGAATCTGTAGGATCGGCATCACTGCATGCTATCTCTTTTCTCTCTCCTTTATTTTTTGTGATGACAGCTTCATGCTTTGCTCTGTGTGATTATCCAGTTCAGTTTAGTCACGTACTAGAAGATTTAAAATAAACCCACATGAAAGGGCTATTGCATTACCCAGTTCATAAAAGTAACAAGAGGCTTTTACACCCTAATGTTTTTATTTTCAAAGCTTGCCATGTTCCAATACTGATGTACTGTAATGGAATATGTGAGATGAAGATCATATATATGCATATATTTCTTTCCTGGATTTCATAAGCTTTGTAAGTTTATCTTTCCTTGATCTGGTAAATTATTTTCACATTTTCTTCCATTAATAGTGGCTAAAGCTGGCAGATGGTTTAGGCAAAGCTGGTTGTGATAATTGCTCATTTAAATCTGATCATCGTGATGCTCTTACATCAAAACAACATGGCATGTGTTCTGTCTTTACTTGTCTTTATTTAACTCTCTGTGTTGATTGCAGCTTCAGTCTTCGGCCAGCTAGAAGAAAATCATCTGTTGGCAAACTGGGATCAGTTTTCATCATGCTCTGGTGGAGGGCCTAAATTATAGATGATGTATTAAGCAAAGATTTCTAGTAATGGGGGTGCCCGTGCGTCTGCTTTGTGTACACGTTTTCCATTTGACCTGAGGCTTGTAAAGTAATTTTCTTGACATTTGGATGGTTGTTGGAGGTCATTCATGATCAATAATCACTTAGTTTGAGTTTCTTTTCTGATCCAATGGCTTTACTACAACCTGAGCTCTTCTGTGAAACACTACAGTTGGCTAAAGAGTAGGAGTCTGATCCAGTCCCTCTGAGGGATGATATGTTCTGTGTTATGTCATAACCTGATGCTATTCCAGGCACACGACTCATCTTCATCCACAGAAACTCTTCACCATTTCTGTATTTTTTTTCTAATTGCCTTAAGGCTCAGCTTTAATTGCAGTTGCAAGTTTAGGATAATTTTCCAGCATTTTCTCCTCTCTTACCAGTAAAAAACTGAACTTCAGTTGATTATAGTTGCACAAGACAACAGTAATATCAATGCAATGGAAGCTTTTGGGTCGAGTCTGACAGGCATGCTAGTTAAGGTTCATCATTTAAGCATACTTTAGGTATTCTGGTTAATGTCTACTGCTTTTTGCATAAAAATAAAAGCCCTCGGCACATCAAGACTTTATGTAAAATTCCTGACACTGGCAGAGGTTAGAGAGTACAGCAACTTCATTTGCTGAGTGTTATGTTATGGTCAGCGAATTTACATAGTTGCACGTCATCTGCATATTGTCAAGGGGCAGCCTAAAGATGAAGTCAATATACCATTAAAAGGGCAAAAAAAATCTTATGTCATGTTGACTGCCCTTTAGTTTTATAGTTTCTTATATAGAGCTAACAAATTCTGCCATTCTCAGTTTTCATCTCATTAGGTTGCCAGAAGTCAGCACCAGCATGGATCTTGTGTGATGCTGGGTTCAAGCGACAACCCATGTGATCCTGTTCTATTGCCACACACAAGAAACTAACTATAACTCGTTGTTTAAAATCAGACCTAAACGAGAGCTTGGAATTGATTTTAGCTGTCAGAATTTTTTTTATCAGCAATGAAATTAAGTAGTTTTGTCACATTGTTGAAAACAGAAAAAAAAAATGCCTTGAAGACACAAACTAAAACTGACAAGAATTAGAGCCACTGCATGGTAATCTGTCAGGTCTGGTTGAAACAAAGTGAATGAGTAGGAGAGACGATCAACAAGCTGAACAGCTGTGTCAGCAGCAGCTGGATATACCGGGAAGCTGTTAATGTGTTTGGGGTAATGGGATGTGGGTTAGTGTGAAGATGCACACGGAAATGACATTTTAAAAATATGCTTATTTTTATTATTGTTATTATTTTTAAGCATTCCTTTTCCATACAGTTGACAGCATATTGTGGACAATTGTAGGCGACACTTCCAGGGCTTTCCTCTTCTACTCCTCAGCTCCGAGTGCTGTGCACTGCGACACTAGACTTCTAGCTGCACCCTGATTTAATGGTGTTATCAACAGAGCACAGCCGTGTTGCCTGCCTGGCTTCTCACTTCCCGCTGATCCTTCCCTTCTGCTCTAAGCCTATTCAGCTCCATGGTTTCTCCTACAACAGTGACACAGGCAGGGTTATGGGGGGATGCCTAGAAGCACGGCTGAAAAGAAAAGAGGAGGATGGATTTATTTGTATTGGACTTTTGGGATGAATCATTGTGTTAAATATGCAACAGAGAGATCTGTGTTGTTGCTGAGGGTACTCCAGCATGGCTGCCTGTAGCGTACAGCAGCCGCTACAGGCAGGTATAACAGTGTCTCACACCCTCTGAATTACTTCTGCGCTCAGCTGTCATGTGAAAAATAGAGTGGAACTTCAACTAAAACCTCATTTATCAAAGTGACACACGCATCTATGACCACATGGTTTTATTATGCATAGAGTAGACATAAACTAATTCTGCAGAAATAAAATATCCCTTGAAATTCAATCAGTGCGCCATTCTCATGTGTTGATGTCATCCTTGGTTTCTCCAGTTCTCGTGCTGTTCAAATATGCCAAACTGGGAAGGTGGGGAAATTAGATTCCAGATTAGGAGTATCTATTTGATAGGAGCGTTATGTGGCTTGTTATTAATGTCGGACTTTACATTTAGATTGGGAGTGAGTAAAGCGGGGAGAGAAAACAAACAATGGGAATGGGGAAGGACACAGTTTAAAGAAATGACGTAAGATTGCTCACCGGTAGTTTCAACGATGCCCTCGAGGATAACGACAATTTCAAACTGTTCACTCATGAGAGAGCGCTGGGATAGGTCAAAAAAGGGGCTCTTGGGATTAATTTCATGACAAATGGTGAGAGGGGATACCAGAAAGAGCTGGTCTGCACCCGTTCCAAAGCCTACATCCAATTCGCACTGGTCCAGAGGCAGGAACTCGCCCTCAGGTGTCTGACGAGACTGAAAGATAAAAGTCACACATAAGTAGACGGAGACAGAGGAAAGTGTAAAGAAAGCGAAACAAAAAGGTACAAAAATAAAAGAAAGAGACAGGGAAGTGATAATTACATTCATGTAGTCTTTAAAAAGTCAATTGAGTTCTTCTGTCCACCTATAAATGAAATATTTTTGTATTCTACTTGGTACTTTATGACAATGTTAAAATGCCCAGTATTACAAGTCCAATGGAAAAGTGCCCTTTGTGGCAAGTTAAGTACCTCATTTGTAATTAGTGCCCTGGAGCTGTATGTGAAAAACTATTTAAGCTGCTTTAGCATGCTTGTACTTTCTGCCCATCTGCAAACTGCTTTGCAACCCACTTCTGCTCCAACTACTCCTTTCATGCTGTTCTCAATGCTGCCTGCTTTCTCCTGTGCTGGGTTTTGTAGTTGATGTCTACCTTCAAATCTAAAGGACAGCAGATTGAAATAACATCAATTAATTCGAGTATAGTGGTATTTTAAAAGCAGACTGATAGAATATAGAAATATTATTACTTTCATCCAATTAATAAGCGTTCCAAAATTTCATGAGTCAAAATGTGAGAAAATGTGTTTCTCTTAAAATATATAACTCTCATGAAAAAACGATGAAAGAGATTTCTCTCTCACTCTCTCTCTGTGCTATCTTGTTTGCCATGTCCACAGACTTTGCGCTTCACATTGATTTCTAGGAGAACTTGCAGGCAGACGTATGAGACAGCTGTGTTTGGACAGGACTTGCCCACAGAGCGTTAACTGGTGCGGAAGCATTTAATTGCCCAGATGATGTTAGAGCTCAGCACCGGGGTCCTGGATGTATTTTCTTCTTTCCTGTCTTATTCTGTCTAATCAATCTGTTCACCTTTTCTCTTCACATTTTCTCAATTAGCAGTCTGTTTCACCTGTTATTACAAAGTCTTTTGAATTTCAAGACATTTTCTGACATCCTGCTGCAAAAAGGCTTTCCGATTTTCCAAAGCTTCAATATATAATTAATATGAAATATTTTCATAGCTATAAAAATGTAGGAAGGGAAGATAAAAACAGGTGTGGGTGGGAAAAAAGTCTTTAGAATCAAAGATTATTTTGGCAAAAATCCACATTTAAGATAATTAGGAACAATATCTTCTTTGGCATCGTGGAGCTCAGTTAAAGTCAGTTATCAAAAAAGATGCTTAAAGTCCTTTTAAAGTAAATTAATGTCATTAACACCAAAGAAAATAATCTGCAAAAAGATGATTTTACTCTTTTCACAGATAAATTTTTAGATTCTTTTACATGACACCCTGCCTTCTCTACTCTTTTCTCTTTTTTTGGGTCATTGTTTTACCTCAAACCAATTATTTGGATGCGTCACTCACCAGCCACCCACCTAACAGCACACACTACTCCTCCACCTCAGCTCCACGCAGCTTCATAATGAACTCCCACACAGACTACCACACAGCCTCACCAGCTTCTCTGTAATGCTTTCTGCCATTTCTGGATCTTTTGTTCTTGTTGTGAATCTTAATAATAATCAACACACTATTCACTAAAACACAGTCCCCTCTTTCACCCCTGCCCGAAACACCAATGAAACTGGAAATTGGCCATTTGTAGGCTGCTTAACACACCCCTAACCTAGCTGGGTCATCTGTTTACTGATCTAAGCCATTCTGTTTTACTCTGACCCAAATGAGTAACCACTAATTTTGCTCTGGCTAGAATAGAAATTATCCACTGGAGTTAGCTAGTTAAGCAGATGCTTGCTCCATGATTTGGTTAAAAAGCCAGTCTGCAGACTCATTGTTGATGTTTTCAGCCCACTGGTCACCAGCTGATTGAAGAGCGCACGTTAAATTAAAGACACGGCTGTTGAAATATATTTGCATGCTTAGCCTAAACACTTATCTAAGAGAAAGCTTTCTGCTTTCAACTTGCAATAGAAAAGGAGTGAGAGATGAAGAGGGGCTGTAGTGTTTGGAATGTAGCTAAAAGTAGCTAAAGTTGCAGATATGTAAACCTAAACCCTAAATCTGAGAGCAGACAGATGCTGAAAGTTTCAGCATTCAGGGAATACTTCTGGTAAATGGTAAATGGACTGGTTCAAATATAGCGCTTTTCTACTCTATCTGATCACTCAAAGCGCTTTATACAACTAATTCATTCTCCCAATCACACCCATTCGCACGAGCATTTTTTCTAAGCTGTTAAGTGCTCCCTATTTAACATTCATGCACATTCACACTCCGATGGATCGGAGAGCAACATGGGGTTAGTATCTTGCCCAAGGATATTTTTGATCGAACCACCAACCTTCCGGTTAGTAGCTGACCTGTTCTACCATCTGAGCTACAGCCACCCCACTTCTTAACAATAGGGAAATAAATAATGATGTGCTATTTGGCCTTGAAATAAACCAGACCAGGTGATGTGCTGATGCCGGTCTTGCTACAGGTGCTCGACAGAAAACAGCAGTTGGAGACCACAGCACAAACAACCTTTATTGTGACTCTGTGCAATGAACTTGCAGTCATGTTTCCTTTGAAATGGTTGCTTCAAAAATGGGGTCTGTGACCACTTAGAGTCAGTTGCCATCATTAAAGCAACTGTGGTGCATTAAAATGGCAATAAAGTGGTGATAAGAGATTCCTGGTTGAAGGAGTCAAGTTTGCAATTCCATTAAATTTTTTTGTGATAACAGTGATAAATAGGTGGAAATTTACAAATCTCTTGCTGTCTGTTGCAATTTTGTTGCCATTTGCATACACATAGACTGCTTACATTCAGAGTCCAGCCAGAATCTCAAAGATTTGAAACAGAAATTAGTGATGTCATTGCTCCAGGACATCATCTTAACAGCAGAATCAGACAGGAACTCAAGCAGCTTTGCTTTCATGTAAGAATATAACTAGAATATGACCAGTTGAGTGGAGTCCCCATATTACATATATTGCTTGCAGAGTGTTTGCAGTCTGTTATAAATCAGCAACTTGCAGACCTTCATTAGTCTAAAGGGGACTACAATCAGGCCCAATCCAACCACGACTGTTTGGAGACAGTCTACCTTTTACCAGGGGACCTATGCAACCACACTGCAATTGAAAGTGGCTGCTGTAGTACTTTTAGATTGCTAAATGTGAAGAAATTAATTGGAATCATCTAAAAACTACAAAGGAAATTTCTGTCCTCTTCTTTATTCTCCTGTGTCTGGGCCATTAGATGAACATGTCTTCAAGAGAGCTTAAACACATAAGCACACTTTTTTCATGTATAGTATAAAGTTTATGGAATAAAATACACTTTGCTTGAGTGTTTCTCTTGGTTTTTGGTACCTTCTTTAAATGTGATGAAGTTTAAAGTTAACTAGGCTATTTTTAGGCTAGCTAAGCTATAACTGAGCATGACGTGAATGTAGGTAATCAAGGCATTATACCGAATGGGAAAACAAAAGTAAAAGCAGAAACTGTTTATAAAATAATCCAAAGACGATACATCATATTTATCTGAAACACTGATGCTGACTAGTTTAACAAAATGTCATCAGGTAATTTTTCTGATGCATGCACATAGACTGCATATTAGTCTTAGCTAATGTGACGGTGCACAGAGATGGTTCTGCATTTTTTTTTCCTCGTGTAAATTATCTCAAAAATGTTGCAGCAGGTAATCATTAATCCAAACTCCAAACAACCGTGCATATTAAACAGCATGTCTATAAACATGATTTATTGTTAGAATCTGTATTCGTTTTACTAGATAATAAAGTAGCTACTGCTGAGTTTGAAGTGCTGCAAAAATAAGTTTAATTAATGAAAATTTTCTTTTAGTGTGCTTCTTTGTACTTCCCGCCCCCCACGCTACAGTTACTAGTCCTAGTCCGATTTCATCCAGACCTGCCGGTGATATTGTCCTATCTCCCAGATGCAAACTGTGAATAAGGTGCGAGTAAACAGGTTTTGCATTGCCAGAAAACACTGCATTCTATTTCTGTCTCCTGTGAATATCAATGAGATGCTCATCTGGATTTATGTCGGGGAATGACTTTCGTGTCGAGCGGGCATTGTTCACTTGTCAGGTGCTTACAGGCCACTGAATACTATTTGGCATTGTTCCTCCTTTGAGGGTTATCTCATGTTAGCTTAGGGAAATTCTTCTTTTCACTTTCTGTCTTGGTCGCTTAAGATTAAAAAGATGGATGACTGTATGCAAACATTGACAGGCAAAGCTTCTTACAAAGGCCCCCTGGCACTCTCCTAGACTCCTTCTTGCACAAAGATCCCGAGATAGCTGAGCTTGTCTGCTTTTTTTTCTTCCTGTAAATCTGACATGCTGTTTCAACCAATCAACAGATTTTTCTCTCCAAGCTCTCACATAGTCAGACAGGAACTGTTTTTATTTCTTCTCCACAATATTTTTGGGGAGCAGAAGCACTGGATGAGCACACAAACATTTCTCTTTGAATTTTTACCTGTCACGTCTGATTGCTCACCATGCCCATCAACGACTCAGCTACTCATTATCATTAGAAAAGCGAGGCGTTTCCCCCCCCCCCTCTGTGCTTGCAGTGGAAGTGTCTCAGTGGTGTGAATGATGCTCATGGATAAAGACAGGTGATAAATAAAACTGATTAGACCTAAAGGGTTCTGGTCTTCCTACTCAACTCCACTCCTGCTCGGCCAGACCCTCATCAATCAGCAGCCTCAGTGGAGATGGGGGTGGAGGTGCTTATAGGCAATCAGATCGACCGGCCGACAGTCCAACCAAATCACGCGCGCTTTCAGGCTGCAAGTTATGCACAGTCTAGTCATTAGATTTAGAAAAGCCTTGGTTAACATTTCATTCAAGCCAATCCAGCCAAGACTGAGTGAGATTAATTAGAAAAGTTAAATCACAAGTTAAATTAATTGGGAAAAACAACCTGAGGTAGACTGCATGGTGTTCTTCTGCTCTTACAAACGAGACTGCAACTGCAAACAACTGCTTGTGTTTAAGACT